TCCTACGCCGCTACGGTAGCGAGAAATTGGAGGTTTGCCTAGTGGGGAGGCTGGGCGGGTTAGTGTGAATTCGCAGAGCACCACTCGAAGAAAGATGGTCACAGGTATGTAACCTACCATTTTTCTTCGTGGTCTCTGCGAATGCACACTTGTGGAGACTAGCAAGCTCAGGTCCCGGAGGCGGGAAGAAGGCAAACCGACTATTCAAGTCAAGGGCCAAACAATTTTATTAAGTGCAAACAGTTACCAACAAAGGATTGTAATCACTTCCGAAGAAGGGCACAGTACATGAATCTTATGGGAGTACGTGATCCTCCCGGTCACGTGAGAGTGACCAATCTACAGTGAAAGACACTCAATAAATGAGGGCATTCTTAAACAATTAGCATAAACTTGTGACCCTTGGAAACAACAACACAGTCATTGTAAGGACACTCATTGCAATGAGGGCACATTAAGTAGTTACACAAAAACAGTATTATCAGCAAGTGCAAAAACACATTTGTAAGAAACAAGGTGTCGATAGCGACACAAGGTACTACCCGTAACGAGCCCATTAGGCCATAGTGCAGAGTTGCCTGCGCCTCAGGCAGTAAAGGCATCAAGTGTAAAGGTGCAATTACATTCACCAGCACCGGTAAACAGTTGAATTCAAGTAACAACATGGTAATAACATTCACAACAATATACGGTACCGAAGAAGCTCCCGGTACCGATAAGATACACGAAACTTCGCAAAGTTCAAGGTGGGCATGACCCCAGAATTGCCCTCCCAAAGGCCATGTCAGGTGTATACCTGGTATTCAGTCTATAATGTGAAACAAATGTCTGAGGATTCTTCCAAATGGCCGCCTTGCAAATAGCGTCCAGGGGAATCCCCTTAAGAAAGGCTGTCGATGCCGCCATAGCCCTGGTTGACCGAGCTCGGACGACCGAGGGAGGTTGTTGTCGAGCCAGCTGGTAACAAAGCTCGATGGTCGAGGTGATCCAGTGAGACAAGCATTGTGCCGTGATCGGCAAGCCCACCTTATCCAGGGCATATGCAACAAACAGTCTCTGAGACCTCCGAGACTGAGCAGTCCTGTCCCTATAACACAGTAATGCTCTCCGCACATCGAGCATATGAAGTCTTTTTTCCCTCGGGGTGGAGGGAGACTGACACAACGAGGGAAGGACAATGTCTTCATTAACATGGAAGGGGGACACGACCTTAGGGAGGAATGTCACATCTGTGCGGAGAACTGCTCTGTCCTCGTGGACAACAAAATAAGGTTCGTCCACCCGCAATGCCGCAAGTTCCGACGGCCGACGGGCTGAAGTGATAGCGACCAGGAAGGCCACCTTCCACGACAAAAGCCGAAGTTCAATTGAAGTCAATGGCTCGAAAGGCGGTTGTGCAAGCCGAGCCAGCACGAGGTCGAGGTCCCAACCCGGAGTCGGAGAACGGACCGGGGGGTGCAGGTTGTTGAAACCTTGCAGGAAAGATCTCACGGAGCTATCCTTAAATAAGGAAGCTTCTCCTGTCCGTTGAAGTTGCCACGATATGGCTGCCAAGTGAGACTTGAGTGACGATAGCGACAAGCCTCGTTCGGTAAGGTGCAGCAAGAACGAGAGAATTGACGGTACCGAAGGTCGATGATCGTCTAGGCCCTTCTCGGAGAGGAAGGCCTGGAAGCGGTTAAGGCACGCCGAGTAGCACTTTTTGGTCGCTGGCTTGTGAGCTGCCTCCAGGATCGGAAGAACTCCTGGACACAGGGACCTCAAAACCGGATCCTCCACGCCGAAAGATGCAGAGAAGCGAGGTCGGGGTGGAGAAGCTGACCGTCTTCCCGGGAGAGTAGATCCTGCCGAAGTGGAAGGCGCCTCATCCGTCCCTCGGATAACTGGAGAAGGACCGAGAACCACGGTTGTCGTGGCCATTCCGGCGCTATCAAGATGCAGTTCGTTTGCGCCGACTGGATCCTCTCGATCACCCTCAGGATGAGCGGGAAGGGAGGGAAGAGGTAAAGTAGATGCCTCGACCAGTCCAGAAGGAACGCGTCTCCGAGACACCCTGGTACCGTGTTCGGAGCAAGTCGAGCACCGAACTGAGGAAGCTGAGCGTTTTGCGGCGACACGAAGAGGTCTGCGGCTGGGAGGCCCCACTCCCTGAAGATCTCGGCCAGTTCGTCGGGGTTCAACCTCCACTCGTGAGAGGTTGCCCTGGTTCTGCTGAGTGCGTCCGCCTCGACGTTGACTTCGCCCGGGAGGTGTAAGGCTGTTATCGACACCGACCTGGT